TCATCTGCATATCACAGGTTGTTAATGAGTCTTCCTCCAATCCTGATGCCACATTCTTCTTCATATAATCAGCTTCTCAGATTATTTGTTCAACATACAAGTTGAATAAGTATGGTGAAAGGATACAGCCTTGATGCACTTTCTTCTTGATTTTGAATCATGCAGTATCCCCTATGTTCTTTTTGAACAGCAGCCTCCTGATCTATGTACAGGTTCCTCGTGATTACAATGAAGTGTTATGGAATTCCCATTCTTCTCAATGTTATCCATAATTTGTTATGATCAACACAATCAAATGCTTTTGCATAATCAATAAAACACAAGTAAACATCTTTCTGGTATTCTTTGCTTTCAGCTAAGATCCATCTGACATTAGCAGTGATATCCCTTGTACCACGCCCTCTTCTGAATCCAGCTTGCATTTCTGGAAGCTCTTTGTCAATATACTGCTGTAACCGTTTTTGAATTATCTTCAGTAAGTATGATACTGTTCGATAATTTCCACGTTTTGTGGGATCACAATGATCCAAATATGGATCTCTTCCAGTCAGTTGGCCAGATAGCTGTTTTCCAAATCTCTTGCCATGGCCAAGTGAATGCCTCTACCAGGGCATCCGTTTGTTGAAACATCTCAATGGGTATTCCTTCAATTCCCAGAGCCTTGTTTTTAACCACTTCCTTCAGTGCAGCTTTGAATTCTTCATTTAATACTATTGGTTCTTGATCATTTGCCACCTCCTAAAATGGATGAACATCAGCCAGTTCTTTTTGGTACAGTGACTCTCTGTATTCCTTCCATCTTTTTTTGATGTTTCTTGCATCATTCAACATTTTGCCCATATTATCTTTCAGTATTGCAACTTGAGGGTTAAATTTTTTCCTCCGTTCTTCCAGCCTGAGAAATGCTGACCGTGTTCTTCCCTTTTGGTTTTCTAATTCCAAATCTTTGCACATTGCATTACAGTAATTAGCTTTGTCTGCTCTAGCTGCTCTTTGAGATCTTCTGTTCAGCTCTTTTATCTTGTCATTTCTTTCATTTGCTTTAGCTACTCTCCACTGAAGGGCAAGTTTCAGAGTCTATTCTGACATACATTTTGGTCTTTTCTTCCTTTCTTGTCTTTTTAATGACCTCTTGCATTCTTCATGGATGATGTTCTTGATGTCATCCCATGATTCTTCTGGTTTTTGGTCATGGTGTTCAGTGTATCAAATCTATTCTTTAAATGGTCTCTAAATTCAGGAGGAATATTATCAAGGTCATATTTTGGCTCTTGTGGACTTGTTTTAATTGTCTTCACCTTCAACTTGAACATGTATATGAGTGGTTGGTGGTCTGTTCCATGATCAGCTCCTGGCCTTGTTTTGGCCGAAGATCGTACTGAATGTCTCCATTGCCTCTTGTCACCAATGTAGTCAATCTGATTTTTGTGTATTCTATCTGGTGAAGTCAACATTTATAGCTGTCGTTTATGTTGTTGAAAAAAGGTATTTGAATGAATAAGTCGTTGGTCTTGGAAAATTCTGTCATGCAATCTCTAGCGTTATTTCTATCACCAAGGCCATATTTTCCAACTACCAGCAATGAAAGAACTGGCGAAGAACAAGGCTCCGGGAATTGATGGCATACCGATTGAGATATTTCAACAAACACATGCCCCATTGGAGGCACTCACTCAGTTATGTCAAGAGATTTGGAAGACAGCTACCTGGCCAACTGACTGGAAGAGATCCATATTTGTGCCCATTCC